GCTACGCCTCGGCGATCGGCTAGAAGATAATCTCGCGGAGGTCGGCTAGGTAGAAGATAATATCGCTCTATACTAGGGTCTCGCTATTAGCGTGCTAGCAGATCTACGCCGGCGGTACTTCGGTCTAGCTAATCTAGAAGCTAAGTAGCCGGTTCTCGAGCAGCTCGCTAATAGGGCTATTAGTATTATTAAGTAGCTACTCGTCCTAGAGCGCTACGATTACCCGCCTAGTCTCGCTCTCCTAGCCCTACGAGGTACGCGCGAGAACCTCGCCGAGGACGATTATCTAGTAGTCGTAGATTAGCTACGAGAGGATCGACGTATAGTTCCCGAGGAATATCTACGCGCCCTATATTAGGCTCTAGAAGCGGGTAGCCGCGTACGATACTAGTACCGAGTCGAACTTACGCTAGGGCACAGCGTACTAGACGATAGCGAGGCTAAAGTCCTATATAGCCCGGTCGAGGCGGCGCGGGAGCGTAGTCGACGAAGCGACGGAAGGGTCCTAGTCGTTAAGGTAGTCGATTAGCTCGTCGATAGCCTCGCTAACCTCGCGCTACGCCTCGAGCTAGCAGTCGCTAGGCCGGAAGAGGTCGTTACGGAGGTAGCCGTACTCTACAACCTAGGCCTAGTAGCAGACTAGCCGCTACTACGTGTCGATATAGCGCTAGCGCGACTACTAGTTCTAGAGTTCGGAGATAGGATCCTACGAGGTCTACTCCCGCGTAAATATATTAAGTAGACAGGCGTTCTAGCGACTAAGGTAGCGAGACTCCCGGTACTAGTCGTACACGAGGACGGTTATCGTCCTCTCGAGTACCCGCTGTACGCTCTCGTAGATTAGGAAGAGACTCCGCTCCCTATCGCGGTATAGGAGCTAGTAGCTACGGCCGAGCTCGCTTAGCTCGAGGCTCTAGAGGTAGAGCGCGATCCCTATCCGCCGGATCTATAGCGTATACTCGGAGACGTGCCGGGACGCTTCGAGAATAGTAGACTCGGGCTAGGATAGCCCCTAGTAGTAGCAGGCGAGGATCTGCTCCTAGTTATAATTAGTAGTGGTAGGCGGAGGAGGAGGGGTAGTAGTGGAAGAGAGAGAAGAAGAGGAGGGGGGGGAAGGTTAAGTAGTGGAAGGTAGTAGAGGAGGAGGAGGAGGAGGAGGAGCGTTATCGGGCGCCTTAGTATATAGATATATATATTATATCGGGTGTAGCTAGTCTCTTAGAACTACCGCGAAGTAGGATTAGTACTACCTCTAGGTAAAGAGGGTCTATAAGTATACTTCGTAATAGGGTATTACCCCGTAGTAGGTAATCTATTACCGATAGGCTTAGTTATAATACTATTAGATAATATAACGGTTGATAGTGCGAAAGGTATAGGTGTCGTAGTAGCAGAGGAACCTACAGATAGTCGGAAGCCCCTAGATCTCTCGACTACTATCGGGTAGCTACACTACCTCGCGATAGGAGGTTACGATATGATCTAATTCGCTTAAGGATTCGATCCCTTTCCGTTAGGACGACCGGAATTTGTATAACTATAAGAGATAACGGGCGAGATTCTATTAGGTATAGCAACTACTATAGGTAGTGTAGAGGATAACCCGGTAGTCAGGGAGAATATAAAGAAAGGACGGTAGTAACGAATCCGGCTCGCTAGCCTCAACTACGGGGTCTAGGGAGCTCGGATTAGAAATCGATATAGCTAGGGCAGGGAGGTAGGCCCGTCGGGTCTTATATTCGATACAATTAAGAAACTAAACCTAGGAGAGAGGGAGGGGTATAATCAGGGCCGGTTGTCAGATATTATCAGGGCCGGTCGAGTCCCCTTTCGGGTCTAGCGCCCGCGCGACAGTATAGCCCTACCCGATATTTATACGGCCGCGCACCGTCGACTAGATCTAGGAGCCCTCGGTCAGGATCGCGTATCGATAGAGAGTATAGATCGCTATATATTCCCCCTAGTCGAGATAGAGAGGAAGGTAAGGCTATTCTAGGAAGGATCCTAGATAGTAGGATAATATCGTAGAATATAATAGTTATAATTCGAGTATAGCGAAAGTCGCTAATAAGATAAAGATTTTATCGATAGCTAAATAGAGAGGATATTCCCTCCTAGCCTACTCTATAAACGCGTCCGGCCGCGTACTAGAACGCGCTTTACTTTTTCTCCTCCTAATATCGCGCGCGATAGAGGATAGACGATAGATTAAATTAGAGGGTTTTAGAGGTCGCGCTAGATTAGCTCGCGAGGATCTACTAGTAGGGCGTAATAGCCGACTAGGTCGCTATAGTCGCCCGGAGCCTTAACTATAGAGCGTATAGACGAAAAGCGTAGAATAGTTGACTATTCCCGAGGGAATAGTATAGTAGCCCGCTTAGCTAGTTAGAGGTACGCTTTCTAAAGATAATTAGTAGAGTAGGTAATAAACGATTAGCTAGTCTAGTTATTTACTATAGAGTTATAGATAGTACTAAGATTAATAGTAGAGGGGATCCTTAGTAAGAGAGTATTATAGAAGGCGTAGGACTATTGAATAAAGTATACTAGGAGTATATAGAATATACTAAGAGTAATAGAAATATTCTCTAATATAACTATATTACTATTAGGGCTCTAGTAATAAAAGAAGGATAGAGAATTAAGCGCTACCTAGCGTTTACTAAAGATATATAAGTTCTATAACTCTCCTAATACTATTAATAAGCTAGGAAGTATATACTAATACTAGATCTTCTATAGTCGAGTTAGAGGGTCTTTCTAGGGCTAGCGAGGCTAGTAGAGGTAGCTATATACCTAGTAGGGAAGAGTATACTCAAGGAAAAGTAGCTATTAGATATAGATTAAGCTAGAGAGGTAGAGAGTAAACTACTTTACTAGGAGAAAATATATCTCTTAGGTACTAATCCTAAGAACCCTACTAAAATAGATAAGAAGGCTAGATAGTAGGCTCTCTTTAGTAAATTCTTATATAATAAGTAGTATATAAAGTTTAAATAGGGTCTCTATAAGATAATCCGGGAGAGATTATACTTATAGGAGGTTTAGAGTAGAAAGAAGAGCTATATTCCCTAGGCTATTATCCTCCTTATTATCTTTACTCTCTAAATTACTTAGGTTATATACGCTATTATCGCTATTAACTATAGGAGAGTTCTTCTAAGTTATTATACTAAGGAGAGCTTTCTAATAGATAACTATCTTAATAGTAGACTACTAGTATAATAGGTCCTAGGTAACCTTCTAGTAGGAATTAGCCTAAATCTACTCGAGGATCTAAAGGTACTAGGTAGGAAATCTAAGCTAGAGTAGTTATTAGTAGGTTCCTAGTCTAAGCTAAAAAGCGCGAAGAATAAAGACTATAAACTATTTCTATATCTACTAGTAGTAACTCCGACTTACTTAGGTTCTAAGGAATAAAAATAGCTATAGTAAGATCTTAGTAGCGAAATAACTCTTAAGCTACGCTAAGACTACCTATCTAGTATATCGTATTATTTCTTTATAGTAGTCGAGAATAAGATTAAGGCCTATAAGGAACTAGTTAATTCGATCTTTATTATAGGGTAGGCTAGTAAGCTTCTATTCTTAGTAAGAGCCTAATCGAAGGCTATAGGTAGCGCTTAAAATATTAGGAAGAAGTATTATCCGCTTAAGGATATTCTATAGGATTCCTTAGTAGGTAGTAATCTACCTAGTATAGTTAAGCTATAGATAGGTACCTTAGTAGATATTAAGACTAGTATAGAAGAGGATATTATAGAGCTAATTACTAGTCTAGAACTACTACTCTCGTTACTAGAGGTTATTAAGGAAGATATAATTTATTATTAATAAGGTCTAAGCCTATAACCTATCCTTACTCTTAATTAGGCTCGAGCTTTAGCTAGGAAGGATTATCTAGTAAGACTATATAGTAGTTATTTTTATCTAGGTCTATAGGTAGATACTTATATATAGTAGTTTAAGATTAGATTATATAGAGAGCCTCGCGATAATATATATCTTTATAATATACTATCCGATAAGATTAAGGCTAATACTAAGGAAGGAGTATTACTAGTACTAGAAGCCTAGTAGGGTCTAGAGGGCGGGATAGTATAGGGATCTATTTAGCTAAGGCGTCGCGAGGCTTCTACTCTTAAAGTAATACTAATAAAGATATAGATTAAGGCTATCCTATTAGCTTCTAGGGATCTAATACTTATTACGGAAGTAAATACTAGCCTATAAGCCCTTAGTCGAGATCGTATATTAGTAGAGAGTATAGATCGCTATATATTCCCCCTAGTCGAGATAGAGAGGAAGATAAGGCTATTCCGGGGAGGATCCTAAATAGCGGGATAATATAGGAGGATATAATAGTTATAATTCGCGTATAGTAGAGTCGCTAGTAGGATAAAAGCGTATTAATAGTTAAATAGAGAGAATTTTCCCTACTAATCTACTATCTAAACGCGTCTAGTCGCGTATTAAACACGCTTTACTTTTTTGCCTCCTAATATCGAGCGTGATAGAGGATAGATAATAGATCGAATTATAGGTTTTAGGGGTAGTATCAGATTAGCTAGTAAGGACCTACTAGTAGGGCGTAATATCCTAACAGGTCGCTATAGTCGCCCGGAGCCTTAACTATAGAGCGTATAGACGAAAAGTATGTAATAGTATACTATTCCCGAGGGACTAGTACAGTAGTTTTTTTTTCTGTCCTTCTTGTTGAATCTACGTCGTTTAATCTACTCATCTGCCGCGAAGAGGGAGTTGAGTGAAGGTAGGAATGCGAGTTGCACAGGTAGCATAGCAACTGACTCTAAAGTTTGATTTGTTTGCAAGGGGGTTATTAGGGTAGGTAACTAAGTAAGGATATTGTAACTGTTTACTAGTACTATAACGGTAGAATAGTACCATTAGTACATGCTTGGAAGAAATTGCTCTGTCTAAAAACACATAGTAAAGTAGAATGTTGATGCCCTGAGTCATTCAAGAATTCAAGAACCCAATCAAGCATCTATCTTGGCCATACACTCGAGGGTGTAAGCATCTGGATCCCAAGCGAGGACCCTTGTCTTATTCTCTTGAAGCTTCAGAGCCACATATTCTTCCATGGTAGCTTCTTCTTCAGGTGTTAAAAGATCAAGTCTCTCCTTCCATACATCGCAAAGCTCGCCATCATGCCGCCCAAAGAACCGCTCATCGATCCTATTCCAGTAGATCGCGTCGAAGAAAAAATCCGACCTTGCAGCGTACACGATCCAAAAGTCTCCGCTCTCCCAGCTATCTTTCATCCGCGTAGAGAGTCGTTGGTGTTCCTCAAGTCTTTCGTTCCGAGCCTGGAACACCTCCTCTTCACATTCCCTCATTGCCTGAAGAAAGATCGGGAGTCGTTTCTCATACTCTATGCACCAGTCGTCCAGGCCTTTGAGCCAGCGATCCGGTGACCGGAGAATAAGCCACCAAGGTGGCGCGTTGGAAAATTCGACCGGGGCAGTATATGCGAATTCCCAGTCTACTACCCCAGTGGTTTTTTCAGCTTCATCAACTAGAAAGCTTTCTGGACGAAGATCATCACACCAAACTGGAAATGGGCCATCTTCATGATTTATCCATTGTTCCTTAAGTTCCTGGTACCAAATAAGTTTTCGGAAAAGAAACCTAGCAACAAATTTACGCCGGCAGTCGTCGGCGGAAGTTATAGCGTCATTTCTTTGGTGTTTTAGGTGTTGAATATGAAGCTCTGCTAGAGCTTCAAAATAGGATGATGCGCTATTATATGTCGTGCTCGGTATTTTCGATTGGGGTAGCGTCCCTATTCCCACAAGTTCGTTCATAGAAAGGGAGAGCGGTGGGTATATCACTTCCCACGTTGATGAACTAGACGTTGATGAACTAGTCTGTTTTAGGGACCCTATCCGGTTCAAAGACAGCGTGGATAAAGAGAAGACGACGTTGGCTAGTTCTCTATACAGAGCTTTCAGCCTTGGTATGCTCATATCTGGGTTGAGTTCTGGCCTGTCATCTGGTTGGCGTCCCGGCTTCTCGAGAAGTTCACCAATGCTTCTCTTGTGGTCAATATAGTCCATGATTATATAAGGACCCAAGTTTGCTGGGCTCTCACTTCTCTGTCCCCAGCCAGAGATCGTAGGAACTGGAATCGGGATGATTCCATTTGAAGTTTTTTCCGAGATAAATTGTATAATGGAGACCTCGTTGCGAACTTTCTCCTCAGGAAACATATTAGCGCCCGCAATCGGGAACCGTAACATCTTGCCACCGCTATCGGTACCGGCAGTGAATGTCATGAGGAAGCTGATATTGTAGCCGCCTGATCTGAAAAGTACGAACTCGACCCCTTGGCGAGGGCTACAGTGTTCAGCAAGAAATACTCCAGTCTCATTGAAGATTTCTGGATCAAGAAGCAAAGCTCGCCAAAAATCTTGGATCACTTCTCTCTTCTCATGTGCGACATCGTCAGTGTCCATAGGCCAGTGCATAGGCAAGTCCATTTTGAGGGGGTTCTAAATGAGTTGAGGAATTCGTACGACAAAGCAAGGTGCCAGGAGAAATATCTAGGAACCAGTGGTGGTGCACAGGAAATAGTGGGGCAAGCTGACTAACAGATACAGGATCACCCGAGAGAACAGAGAACAAAAGTACGTGATCAAAGGATCCACATACCTACCCGCCGCTAATAATCGCATCATCCACTTCTAGTTTTGGCGAGGATCCGCCCCGTATTGAGGAACTACATAATAATATCTCCAAGGAGCAACCATCGCCATATAATACCTTTAAAGAGGAATTACCACTCGTTATAAGATCTCAAATTTGTATCACCGCCGGGTATAACGGTTAGCGTCACTGCAAGTGAATCACCACTAACCTAGAATCCTGATGGTCATTCGTTCCCTTGACGTTGGTATCATGTAGGAGACTAGCCCCCAAACCCCAAGGCCTTAGCAGCGCTTCGTCCTTTATAGAAGTTATTCTACCGCTGGATACAACAGTTGGTGTTATGTAGGAAATTATCATCAAATTATATCGTATTGGCAGTTCTTCTTCCAAAGGAGAACCGCCTCCAACTTCTAGAGAGCTAGTGATTCGTTCTCTAGGCGATATCTCTTCCGGGGTCTTACGGTTGGCGTTTGGTAAATCACCCTAACTTCTCGAGTATTGATGATTGGTTCTCTGAATTTATCACTACCGGACGGAACAGTTGGTGAATCAGTTCCAACTTCGAGAGTCCAGAAATGATTCGAGGGTCACCGCTAGCATTGGAAACTGGACGGCTAGTCGCCTTCTATCCAGTATTGTTATGTCTGCAAATCTCTCTTGACGCTATGCTTCTCTGCGAACATAAATACCGCCGTGCGTCCGTCCTATTTCGAGGTCATTAGAAATCAAATACCAAATATTCTCTACCTCTCTCGTAATCTCCGATAATCTATCTCGTAATTATACTATTGCCTACTCTAGCCTTATATAGGCTCGGATCTATAGAGTAGACCGAAGACGTATATAGTTGAAGGGCGCCTAGTTAGTCGACGAAGTAGTTATATAATAACTACTAAGTATTCCTCCTAGTTATAGTATATATCCTTATATCGTACTATAAGGTTATTACGTTACTAAAGATAGTTGATTATCAAGCTTAAGTGTAACTATAAGTAATAATATATAAATTAACGCGAAGAACTAAATACAAATAGGTAAACAAGTGTCCTTATATATCTAGTCCTTTATATCCTAGGATATACTCGGTTTATATCCTAGGCTATATTCCGATCATAGCCCTAGCTATAATATCACGTGACCTTAGGTGTTATTGCCTAAGTCCGTTCTTGCTTATTATAAGCAAGATTCCTCGATACCGCCTTATTGCAGAATCTATTGGTTCAGGCGTGTCCATTTGTAGCATCCCAAGGGTGGGGTCTGTAACACGACGTATAGGATTATAAGAGCTCGTAGGGGTATATCGGGATAATATTTAGAGGACCGGTTAAGTAGAAGGCTAGTAAGTAAAAGATAGTAATAACTAGCACTACCGAGGTAGAGCTACTTACTATATCGGAAGCTACTTATTTAATTATAATATAGAAGCGCCTATATAAAGCAATTAGATTCGATCCTTAATATCTACTTACTATCACTTATAATAACTAGGCCTCGGCACGACCTGCGGGTGACCCTCGGCGGGTGACCCTCCGACCCTCGTTTTGAGGGTCGAGGGTCTAGCTTATAGACCCGCGGGTCGGGTCTAGTATAGGTAGGACCCTCGCGAGGGTTACCCGCGGGTAACCCGCGGGTAGTCAAACTAGGCAAATAGGAGGAAATATAAATAAATTATATATATTTTAGATAACTAAGCAGAGTTATACTTCCTAATTAGGAAAGGCGTCTAAATTTTATGAAAATAAGGGTCGCTAAGGGTCGCTGAGGGTCACCCGCATAAGGGTAGGCGAGGGTCGCGGGTCGGGTGACCCTTATAAGGTCTAGACCCGACCCTCGCGAGGGTCGTGCCGAGGTCTAATAATAACTAGTAGACGCTCGGACTATTAACGAAGGAGACGCCTCTCCTAAAGACTAAGCTCTGATATATTAATATTTATTAGCACTAGTTAAGGTAGGAGGTTCAGGTATAACGTATTACTGTTAGATAGGTCGAGTCGAAGGATATAATTACTAATAGCCTCACTAAGAGCCTTCCCTAGCAGCGATATAAAGTATTCGTTAACTAGCTTAGAATAGAAGACATTAAAACGCTATTAAAGATTTCCTAAATAGGAAATAGAGGTTAATTCGTAGAGACGCTAGAAATCGAAGATTTAGAAGATTATAAAATCGCCTATCCCTAGGGAGGTATATCGAGAAGGAAGACTACATAATACGGGCGAGACCTATATATTTCTATACGCGTCAGGATATTACAGGGATACTCGATTTGCTACGTGTTTTATATAGTATCCCGGGTATACTCGGAACCTAGCGCCGTAACACGCTAGACAGCAAGGTAGGTGTCATATGATATTGCAACATGAAGCTATTCCTAACTTCACGCCTCAGGTGTCAACTCGACACCTTATCGGTCAGGCTTCGTCATGACAGCCCCACGTCTCCCCAACAAGGATGCATGACCTACAAGACCCTAAGGGTTCGGTGCCCTTCCATTAGGGATTCGTGGACCCCTCTTCTCTGTAGCCTTTGCTTATCTCTGACACATAGGGGCCACGTCAGACCGCATGTTATAATGTGATCCATCGTCTTTGCTTGGTCATGTAGGAAAAGTGTTGAAGCTTGTACATAAATTGAGGATTATGGAGAGATCCAGGATAGCAAGAAACAGTGTTTAGCTTTCCTTACTTGACGTTTATCTTCCTACCTAGTCGACAGGCTTTCTACCCTGTACAAGTAGTTATTCTCTAACAGTAGGGGATATTCAATATTCCCCCGCCTATACACTTAGATAGTTCAGTCACCTAATACATCACTATATTGAGCATCTCGTTCTATTGGATCCTAGCTTTCCTAGCCGATACCGTATCCTACTCTATTGACAGATAGATGATAGATCGAATTATAGGTTTTAGGGGTAGTACCGGATTAGCTAGCAAGGACCCACTAGTAGGGCGTAATATCCTAACAGGTCGCTACAGTCGCCCGGAGCCTTAACTATAGGGCGCACGGACGAAAAGTGTGTAATGGTATACTATTCCCGAGGGAATACTACAGTAGAGCCTTAACTATAGGGCGTATAGACGAAAAGTGTGTAATGGTATAGTAGGATTAGCTCGCGAGGATCCACTAGTAGGGCGGAATAGCCGACTAGGTCGCTGCAGTCGCCTAGAGCCTTAACTATAGGGCGCACGGACGAAAAGCGTGGAATGGTGGACCATTCTCGAGGGAATAGTACAGTAGTAGAATTGTTTGGGGAGCGGGCGTGCTGATTTCGTATCTATAGCTTGATCGCCTTTGTTCGATCTGGGATTACTGATAAGCGCAACAAATGTTCGTTTTATTAGTTTGAGAGAGAAGCGACGAAAGATCTAGCATCAGTTGACATACTAGCCTGCGGCTCGGCGGACATGGCCCAATACCACCTAATTCACACTAAAACATCGACAAGGTATCCACTCAAGCCCCACAGGGCTAGATGTCACGCAAAATCAATCTATCTGGTCTGAGATAAGATCCCCATCGGTATCATCTGAAGATTCTTCCATCGCATCCGAAAGACTGGAAGCCTCGTCAAGCCGAGCCAAATTGTCGGGTTGGTGGAGGGGCCCGAGGGAATGCGCGACTAGACTATAGGGATGTGGCCTGCCGGGAGGACTGTTGCGCTCGTACTTGTTACGATAGATATGTAATGACATTGCATGACTTGGTTCGATTTGCCTGGTACACCTCTCATCCTCCAATCGCATCCATTCCGAAGCCCTACTATGGCTATCGAGAGCAGCCAAGGCAAAACGAGCAAACTGGCTCTTCTGCGCCTCAGATAGTTGAAAAATAGGGTAGCCCTGTACGGGATGCAGAAAAACATTATTGCACTTGAGTATATTTTTATTAGAAACCCCCTTCAAAGTAGGAAATTAGGGAAGAATACAAAACCGCGGATAAACGTACCTCTAGTTCAGACTGTCCACGGTCAAAGAGTACGACTCCACCAAAGATCCGGTACTCAGCCCAGTAACCTATAATATCAGCGATTCCATCGGGATACTGCTCCCAGAATTCATATGCCGGGTGAAATAGTGCTGTCTTGTGGGCTTTAATCTTGAGCTCCATTCGAGATCCATCTTCAAAGATCACATCAGGGGGACGATTTGCTTCTATCGGGTTAGGTTGATTTAGTCCTCCATCGACTTTTTGAGATAAAGCAGTCGCTAGATGATGAATAGCGATTGCGACGACCTCGATGAATCGTAGAATGAATCTTTCAGATCCTATCGGTGAATTCTGGTATGCTTGCAAAGCCTATTCGAAAAGTTCAAAGATTAAAGATGAAAACTTAGCACAGGCGAGAGGAGGGGCTATAAGTACGTCACTATCAATCATAATATCATCCATGGAGAGGTGATCTCGCAGGTCTTTTGCAAGAGCTATGGCATCTTCACTTGGCTCCAAGCGATCCTCAAAAACCTGTCGGACTGAAACATAGTAGTCCTTGTAAACTCCTCGGATAGGACACCCATCCGCAATCTGGGCGAAGGTGACGATTCCTAAGTCTGATGCCAATATATGGGATAGAATTTGGAACAGTGGTGCAGAATGGCTTGATGGAAGATGACCCGGTGAGCGCTTTGGCATTTCCGACATTGTGATATGCAATCAATACGACAAGGGAGAGGTCAAGCGAGAAAAACTTTTTGGGGCGGGGGCTCCAGCGGACTGCGCGGTCTCACTAGCAGGCATGGGCGCATGAGAAGGCCAGTTGTTGTCACGTGATGACATCCAAAACACCACCCAGCTCGGCGCGTAATGTACTCCCCTATCAGATGGCCCAGCAATGCCAACCAACCCAACCCAAAGCAGACTTAACTAGCAAGGATTGCTCGAATCAGCAGAGCACGTGTTACTCTACTCAGAGACAGCTATAAGACCAATCTAGGGCCAACTAAACCTAACCGAATTAAAACCAACACCACCTCACGAACCGAACCAATCAGGGAGCCTACTCTTCTCGGGGAGTTCAGGGAGTTTAGGGGAGGAGCATCTCAACGCCAAGACAATCCAACCCACCAGAACCGGCAAGTTGGCTCAGGGCATGGCGCAGTTTTAGACAGGCTCCACCTCGGCGGCAACATTTCAAACTATTGGGAGCGAGGTTTACTGATAAGGGCTGCATGTACTCAATAAAAGGGGCATTTCGGTAGAAGCCAACACGCCACTAGGTTGTATCATACTCTTGCCTGACTGGAGGCTAGAGCTGAGTTGGTTTCACAGCCTGATTTATTCCCTCATTACTGTCCTGTTGGCTAGAAAGCAGTTTTTGATTGGTTGTTTGTTAAGGTACTACTTGCAGGGTAGTGGCCTGTTGGCCAGGTAAAGAAAAATGAATACAATGTGGAATCGTTATAGAATCCAGCAGGAGCAATAAGAGTATATTATTGTAACAACTGAATATTAAAGAGATTCAGTAGAAAGAAAGGGGGATTCCTTCTTCTATACTATTAATGTCGTTATTCCGCTCCGTGCCGAAATGGTAATGATGAAGGGATTCAAATCTATATTATATCGTTATGTGTACGATTCGTATCCGAAACCATCCGGAGTATTCGTTCCATAACATTACTCGACCCCCTGTCTATAGTGCAGGTTTTTAAAATGGCGTCGTAGGAAGTTTCAACAACTTTAGACGCTCGAAAATGGTACGTGACGCCCACCAGAAAGTATTCTATTTTTGAACCACTCTGCATCATGGATGGCCAGTATCAACTTTTTCCGGACCTTGTGCAGCAAGGGTTTCTCCAGTAACTATTCATGCGTTCTGCGTTGGTGTCCGCCCCCGGCGCAAAGCAAGCCTACCTTAGACAAGATGGTTGAGGACCATTTCTGCCGTGGTATTCTTCGCTGGTGACAAGATATATATAAAGTGAGAAGGTTTCCATCTGAAATGATCAGAGCTACCCAATTCTACTTGAGGATTTTTCATCTACTGTGACATAAATCTTTGCCAATCATTTCTATAGATTCCTTGCAGAGCAAAATGAGTACCACCGGACCCAGCGCCGCCAACAAAGCAAGCAAGAGAGGGACTTTTCATTTTTCGGTCGGCTATAATCATGATGCGCCAAACCCTGGGGCTAATGAGAAAGAAATTTCGACAGATACTCCTGAAGGAACAGCTCTTAAGGCACTCAGGAAGCTGGCAATAAAGCTGTTTTCCGAGGGTCTAGCCAAGCAGGTATATGGGGATTTGGCTTTTGCACACGTCAAGCTTCATGGCTATCAAATGAGTGAAACCCATGCTAGAGAGTCTACAAAGATTTTCTTTGCTCGTTTAGGGCGGCAAAATGGGAATTACTTCCCAAAATTGGCCATGGATAGTAGTATAAGGCCCGGCGATGAGTTCGCCTATGTCCCGAGAACAGATGCGGACTGGGAGGCCACATTGCAGACCGTCGATGATGGAGACATGTCAAGGTTGACTATTTATCTCAATCCAAGTGTATGTGGAACTGGTTTGGCACTAAAATCCTTGAGACTAATGGCTTCCAGGTCTATAAATCAATGGCCAATGCATATAATAAGTCGCTTAAAGCCGAGGCGGAGGCAAAAAATATCCAAAATCAGCTGGATATTATCAATAAAAGGATTGAAACTAGTACTTCCGACAAAACTATACAAGAGCTTAAAAAAGAGAAAGAAGGCTTGGAAAAAAAGCGCGATAAGTATCTTGAAAAAGAGGAAGAATATGCACAGGTCTATAGGAATTTTAAGTACGCTATGCTGGTCACCATGACCCATGAGGTCGCGCACTTATTGATCATGTACATCCAAATGGTCGTCACTGGGGACCATCAGAAAGGGCGAGCTGTCACTCCAGAGGAAATAGACCACATGGATTACGGACCTGCCGGTAAAGGTGAGTCCGGGGCATGGATTGAATTGAAGCTCTTTGGCGGTGATCTTCAATTCTCATCAGATCCAGTGGAGAAAAAGGTAAGGATTTGATACGATCCCAAAAAGTAATATCTCCTGACTCTCTTCCTTAGGAAGGAAAAACAGTAATGTTACAGGATCGAGGCAAGGGCAAACGGAGAGGTGAATTTATTGTTCCCCAAGAAAGGGTCAATAAGTTTTGTGAAGGGAGTAAGTCATTTACCTGATAACACCGGATGCTCCTTGTATCTATGTTGCAAGATACTGACTTTTCTTTTCTCAAGTCTTTGAATTTACCGGCACTGGGCGTTTGAGACGGTCGAATGCTGGTAGAGCAGGAAAGCAAGCTTACCACGATGACACCAAAGTTCATGATATTCTAATTCTCTGGGGCGATGTGGAAGGCACAAAAGCTGGCCTAAGTAAATTGGCTAAAGAGACACAGGAGGCCGCCGCGACAAAGGCCGCAGCGCTAATGGCCAGAGCGGAAGCGAGCGAGGCTGCAACGAAAGCGGACTCGCTAGGTAAAAAGCCAGAGGCTGCTGCCGCAAGGAAAAAGGCAGCAGCAGCAGAGAGAACTGCCAAAGAGAAAGAGGCCTTAGCGAAGAAGGCCGCAGACAAAGTAGCAGCCAGTATGGGTTATCATAAGCCGACGAAAACAACTCAACAGGGTGCGGCAGCCAAAGCGGCTTCAGGCAGTTTTGGCCCATTTAGCTCCTCTGAATCCCATGGGCTGCTCCCTAATGTTTACAGCTTGGTAACAGTCGAGTTGGTCGTACGCGGCCCAGGTCATGGTAAAGTAGATAGGAAAAGCCACTAAAAGCGAAGAAAACGGCTCAATCAACCTAATGCACCCAGGCTTGAGGTATAATGGCTATGTAGGCACAAGAACAGTCCAAATGTATGTCAGCCCACGCGGGTTGAATGTCAAAGAAAGGAAAATGAGGTTGTGTTACTGTACTAGTCTCTCGGAAATGGTATACCATTCTATAAGGCAAAACGTGACCGATACTGTACCCTTCAAACTAACACTATACAAATGAAAATATATTCACCCGATAGAGAAAAGCTCCCTGATTCTACTATACTAGTCTCTCGGAAATAGTATACCATTACACACTTTTCGTCTATACGCCCTATAGTTAAGGCTCTAGGCGACTGTAGCGACCTGTTAGGTTATTACGCCCCACTAGTGGATCCCTGCTAGGTAATCCGGTACTACCTCTAAAACCTATAATTCGATCTATTATCTATCCTCTATAGCACGCGATATTAGGAGGTAAAAAAGTAAAGCGTGTTCTAACACGCGACTTAACGCGTTTATATAGTAGATTAGTAGGGAATATCCTCTCCCTTTAGCTATCGATAGATTTTTATCCTATAAGCAACTCAATCAATCAATCAATAATCTTATTCCTGATGGAGCTTCCTCTATTTACAAGGTGCTATGCAGGGATTTGCGCCTTCTAGTGCTAGCCTAGTGCGTATAAGAAGTTGCTAGCAGCAATAATAGTATGTAGCGTATACTGTTATAACAAATAGATAAAATCGAACGATAAAGGAAAGAATCAAACGAAAGAAGGGATCCGCCTCCGCGGCTATCCCGCGTGTCCTAGCGGAGCCGAATGTACCTGCTATATACACTAGTAGCCTGAGTAAACTAGCTGTTAATATATTAACTAGCTTCTAATATCTATATAGCCTTTATACGGGCGGAGAAACTGCCGCCGGCCTTATCTTGTAGCGTGATAATAAGATCCGGTAGAACTACACCGCCGGCCTTATCTATAGATTGATAGTAAGGTTATATAGTAGCTCGCTCTTAGTTTTATACCCTATCGGTCCTATAGGACTACTACCTAGAGGCTTATATTTAATTTAGGGCTACGCTATCGGTCGGATCCGGGTTTTCTAGTTCTATCCCGAATACAGCGAGATCTAAGTGCTTAAATTGATCTGGTAAGCCGGATAATACTATAAACTAGGCTAAGTATAGTCTAGCGGGAAGCTAGTAGAAAGGCTTATTAGTGCTAAGCTACCAAAAGTATTTCCCGATCCCTACTTTCACTACCCTAACATCAAATATATATATCTATTACACTACACACTACACTACTATCTTTCTAGCTATATATTTCTAGTAAGAAAATTTGAATTCGGGTAGGGTTAGACTCGCTTAGCAACCACTAATATTTTGTATAATAACCCTTAACCCTCCGTATAGCTTCTAGTCTTCTTCCTATCCCTAAAATCAGCCTATCTATCTTCCTCTATTCTAATATATCCTAAGCTTCTATAATATATCTTTTAAAATAGTGCTAATCCTCCTTAGACTTTCCTATATTTATAAGCTTAAAATATAACTTAAAAAGCTTTAGTTTTAACTATCTCTAAATAGGTTCTATCGGGTTTAAATTAGGTAAGTATAGAGGCTAATCCTCGACCTAAAACTATATATTTTAAACTACTCTTAGGATATCTTCGTAATATAAATCCTAGTATTATCTTATTAGAATACCTTCCTCGGCCTATATATAGGTAAGAGACCTTCTTCTAACGCGTCTAGATAGGATCTTATTATATAACCTTGCTTCTAACTATCGGATTCCTCCTATTCTATTATAATAAGCTTTAACTAACTACTAAGCTAGATAGTACCCTAAACTATCTACGATATATCCTTAATATAAACCTATTTATTAATAAGATTACGCCTATAGGCCTTAGAAGCGAATCTCTAGCACTATTTAGGCCTAGTATTCAACGATCGTTAAATAGAACACTTATCGGAAAATATCTACTTTTAAATCCTAGAAGAATTAGTAATTCTTCGCTATTTTAATATAAAATAACGTCGTTTTAAAGTAGTCTTTAACCCTATAGGGATCTTCTTCTTTGATAAGTATTTAATAAGTTTAAATCGGCGAAGAACTCGATAAATTATTAACCTAGAAGGATAACTAGGTAAGTAGGCTGATAGCTGTTTATAGGTCTAAAAAGGATACCGGTAAGCTTGTAAATATAGAAAGATATAATCACGACTACTAAGCTTCCTAGGCCTACTAGATCTAGGCGCTAAATTAACTATGTATTATTATATATAGTGTTAAATAGTATTATATATCGTCTTCGGATCGTATACAAAATCACGTGCTAGCTATACTCTAGATATACCGTTATTAGTAGTATATACTATTACTAAACGCTGGTTAGGGGTAAGCTCACCTTTTTTTCTTCGCTTTTTAGTAGTTTCTGCTAGGCTATCTAGTATTTTGAGGTTGTAGGAAGAAGAAAAAAAATAGGGTTGATGGTTGATATAGTAATAGAAAGTAGGGTCGGGAAAAACTTTTGAAACGCTACTATATATAGAGACCCCTACTTCTACTAAGGAATTCCTTAATGTTATGCGTATCTCCTATAGATCTAGGTATTTAAGTCATATATAAGCAACTATTTAGTTACCTAAGTTATATCCGTATCTCGGTAAGTCTCGCGCGTTAATTTTTAATAGATAGCTTAATAGCCCTATCTTGCTAGTTCTTAGTTAAATTAGCACTACTAATATTGCTTTCCTTAGTCCTTGCTAGTAGTTAAGAATATCCTTCTTACCTACTACCTCCGCTAGTATGTTAGGGAATGTTAGAGAATAACTACTTGTACAGGGTAGAAAGCCTGTCGACTAGGTAGGAAGATAAACGTTAAGTAAGGAAAGCAAAACACTGTTTCTTGCTATCATAGATCTCTCTATAATCCTTAATTTATGTACAAGCTTCAACACTTTTCCTATATAACCAAGCAAAGACGATAGATTATATTATAATATACAGTCTAACGTAGCCCCTATATGTCAGAGATAAGCAAAGGCTATAGAGAAGAGGGGTCTACGAATCCCTAATAGAAGGGCACCGAACCCTTAGGGTCTTGTAGGTTATATATCCTTATTAGGGAGACGTAGGGCTATTATAACGAAGCCTAACTAATAAGGTATCGAGTTAACACCTAAGGCGTAAAGTTAGGAATAGCTTTATATTATAATATTATATAACAAATTATCCTCCCTCTATAACCGCTTGCCTCTAAGCGGGAGATTTAAATAGTTAGTAGGCTTATTTAGTATAAACAGATTAAATCCTAAGGCTATAATCCTTATATAAGCAAAGTAAATAAGGAGTATTATACTATAGAAGTAAGAGCTTCCTTTATTTATATCCCCTACCTTATATTACTATCCTTTATTTTAATACTCTTCTACCTCCTCTCTTTTATTTCTTATTACTATCCTTTCTTTATTATATTGTCTACGTTTCGTTTACTATACCTCCCCGCCTTCGTGCTACCTATACGGTACCGATTACACTAAAGTATTTTTAGTATATATATTACTTATAGACCGCTATCGGGCCTTCGGGTAGTCTATCCCTAATTATAGATATCCCTCTATTAATTAACTACGTCTTAGATGCTAAAGTATCTATTCTATATCGCTAGTATTCCGCCCGGAATACTATATATTCTGCTATAGGTTTCGCTAGGCCTTCTGCTAGGTTTTATACTAACTTCTTCTTAGTCTACTACTACTATATTAGGCGATACCTACGACCTTTCTAAGATCTTGCTATAGGCTAAGAAGGTTTTCTAGGATAAGATAGTAGTAGATAATAACACTAGGGAAATAGGAGTATAGCCCTTTTTCTAGGCTGTTCGTCTAGAGATCGCCGAGGCTTCGCAGGATCTCTACCGTGCTTTCGATAGTGCGGAGCAGGCCTATCGCTGTGAATATCTCCTCAACTATAGTTTCTATAGCGCGTCGCTATCTTATACTAGGATACCCTTGCCGCTCGTCGATATAATCTTTCCGGAATTCTTCCTCCCCCCGATAGATCCTCCGCCCGGAGATAGGGTTTATACCGGTCAAATAAGCTACTTCGACTTCTTCCTAGGGATAATAGATACCTCTCCTAGGCTTAGGTAAAACTAGTGTTCTACTATAGGGTTTCAGCGGTAGTTCGTGATAGTTAGGTAACTTATCTAGTAGATCGCCTAGCTAATACGGAGGCCTATAATAATTTAATAAATATTGAATCTAATAATAAGCCGGAAGTGCTAGTAAGAAGTATTATAGATAATTTTCCTCTTATTCCTAAGGAAATTTAATCTTTAGTATAGTGAATATTAGGATAGTATCTTATTTCTATAGGCCTTCGGTAGGGTTTTATTTATTTATCTTCGACTATATACTTATATAACGTATAGTAATAATAATATTCAGGATTTTCTTTTAGTTCTCTATTTCCTATAAGCCTATATTAATCCTATAGCGTTCCCTATATCGTCTTAGGATACCTATTAATTATATTCTAAGAGCTAGCCTTTCTATTTAATAAGGAAATAAGATTCTCCCCTAATTAATTTCTTCTCGCGTACTTCTTTAACTTTATACTTATCGTTATTCTCTAATTCTAGTATCGGTAGCCTCTCGTTATCCTTCCTACTTAGTTTTCTCTAAGGTTCTAGGAGGGATACGTGAAAGACGTTATAGATATAATTATACTACTAAGGTAAGCTTAGACGGTAAGCTTGTTTACCGATAGGTTATAGGATCCTAAAAGGGCCGATAAAGTAGGGTGCTAGCTTTCTACTCCCTTTTAGTTTAAGATATTTAGTAGAAAGACCGACTAGGTCTCTTCTTTTAAACTATATCGGTTTATAGGTTTAGTTATAGTACTTTATTATAGTTTTAGCCGCTTTTCGCTAGTATTCC